TTTCACGGTGTATAATTTACCTTTTCATCATTACTAAGTCTGAAATCTCTGAGTCCCTCAAGGGTCGGTTCTTGGACCAACCCTCTTTAATGTTCATACTTTCAAAGCAAGCCAATCAAAACGCAATTTTTAGAGAATTGATACTCACTTTGCCATTGGCTATGCAAGCAACAGAAATGTGACTTGAGGGACTTGCAGCAATATCTATAAATCTGTCAAAAACAATTTTACAAGGAACGTTTATTAGCGCTTGAACTGTTACCGCTTTTGAAGATCGTGAAATAGGCCCTTTGCAGTTAACGGTCACGTGTCTGTACTGGAGTTTTAAATTTTTGTTTTTATTTTAAATTGGGTGATTTTCTTAAGCTACTCGTAAAGAACTGAATTAAACGATGTGTAACCAGTGTGTTACGAAATGCAGTTTTATTACGATCTCTCGGAACAGGTTGTAGAAAGTGTGTTCAGAATAACTTATTCAGTTCTTAGAATAACTGATGAGAAGGTGCTGCCTTTGTAATTACACTTACAAATGGTCAGATCTTCACGTGGCTTGGATGACCACGTTAATGGCGGTCCAGTCCCTAATCAACTACAGACGTTACAATTTAACATCCTGGGGGTGGGGTTGTGCCTCGCATGTACTCGTTCGCGCCCTATCCTTTTGGGTTGCTACTTTGATAATTCTGTTTGTTTATGTCCTTGTTTTGTTTTCATTTTCTTCACAAGATCTATACATACCTTCCTTTGTCACTAGCGATCTCCATGGGTTTAACAAGATGGTTTTTGTTTCCCGTTCCTAACTGACCATATGAGTTGGCTCCCCAGGCAAACAGTAAGCCAGAGTCACTAAGGCCTAATGCGTGCGCATATCCACATGCTATCTGAGTGTAACAAAAGTGATATACTTAAAATATAAATTCCACACTGACAATAAGGAAATAGGGAAGCACGGGTGGCGGTGTGAGCGCTCGCCTCTCAACAATGCAACCCGAGTTTGAGTCCCGCCGGGTTCGGTGTTGTATATGAGTAGAGTTGTTTGTTGGTTCTCTCCTGTGCTTTGAGGGTTTTCCGGGTTCTCCGGTTTTCCTCCCTCTGCAAAAATCAACTCCTAAATTCCAATTTGATCACGGAATGAGGGTCACAGGTTTGTTAGCCACTAAGTGGTACTTTGCTACCCTCATAAAAAAGGACTTTATTATTATCATTATTATTACAATAGATTGATGCGCTATCCATACCACTACATTACTGACAACTATTACCTTGACCATGAATATGCCTCCAAGGCCAGTAACTTTATATGGGCAAGGCTGGTTAGTGTTATTACCAACACCTAGTTGACCATTACCATTGTAACCCCAGGCAAAGATCTGCAAAATGTAAAAATAATCTAATTTGTCAATTCAATTTAAAATTTAAAATAGGTTAACAATAACTTACTGTAATAATGAGAATGTGAACACAAGGTATATTTTTCACTTTGCATCGTGTTCTCCTTGATTCCAAAAATGTAAGTGTATGATACAAATGTCAATTTAAAAACAGAAGTTGAAAAATCTCCTGCTTAAATCATGTATATTTGCGCTTGGGGTAAATAAAGAGTATCACGTTACTTGCTGTTTTTGATTGTTTTAAGGAGCAGAAAATAATGGTTGATCCTTTTTGAAATAGCGGCTACAATTTGTTAAACAGCGACACAGAAAAGATTTTTTTAAATGGTAGCTAGGATAGATGTAGATGAATAGAGCTTTTAAGTTATACTAACATATTTCTGGATTCAACTGCTCACAAAAACTGCTAAAATAAAGCAAAAAATGTTCTTAACAATTTAACCTCAACCTGAAACAATTTATTAGAGCTTTGGACAACAAATACTGTCATGAAGAAAAAAAAATTATAACATTGCTTATCATTTTGGACCCAAAAGTAGCATTGTATTCCATACAAGTGATGTCACACTTAAACCTTTATATTAAAGGTGAAACTAGCTAAAACACTAGCTAACACTGTGATAAAGTTCCATAGTTCCAAGCTTTCTTACACTGTTTTGTAGGTTATTAATTTCTTTATTATTCACAATTTAAAATCAAGTATTTAAAAACAAAATCGCATTGCATATAAAAAAATTAATGTTATACCTCTCCTGTATCGGAAAGTGCCAAAGATGAGGTCTGACCACAAACAACTGAAACAATCTTCCTGTTATCTGTCAAGTGGTATATCAAGATTTCACTGTCCATTGTGATAATAAGTTACACAAATGTTCATAATTGTACTAAAGGATTTTTGTTTGTTCGTTTGTATGTTTGGTGGAATGTGTGTGACAGACAGACAGACATATTTTATTTGGCTTTTTGCACAGTTGTACATCAACTAAATTAAGAGTATATATGTATGCTTATGTATGTGTATAATATTGACATGTGTGTGTGTGGGGGGGAGGGGGTGGCAGCCAAACGAAAATGTTGCCTGTGTTGAAGGGGTAGGTCTGGGACCATGTATGCATTTAAAAATGTCATGTTCGATCCTACATAACAGCTATTTCTTAAATTTTCAAGGTTCATGCAATTCCCAGGCAAGAAATGGGAAGAATGTGTGCATATAACACTTTAGTGAACTTCCCCCAAGAATCTGCCTACTACAGTTACATTTATTATGAGAATTCAGACTTACTTAAAGTTGAGGCAACTTTTCTTGGGCTGCTTTGGTTGGTCATTGAACCTGAGCCAATTTGCCCACAGTTATTATATCCCCAAGCATATACCTTTAAAAAAACACTTTATTAATGTTTTTTATTTTCCCTACTTCATTTCAATGTTAAACACAGATTCAATTCAATTGATGATGTTGCAAAGCATAGTCAAATCATGTAAAGAAAAGGGTGTAAAAGACACACAGACATCACATCCATTAAACCACCTTTATAAATCTATCAATTATGGTTAGCATGAGTGGCATTTGCCGCTAACGCGTTGTCTTTCACCACTGTGAGTCCAAAGGTTTAGGTCACTGGTTTGAGCCCTGAGGACACCATATGTGAATTGAGTTTGTTTGATGTATTGTTCTCTCCTGTGCTATGAGGGTTTTCTGGGGGTTCTCTGGTTTCCTCCCTACATAAAAATCAACATGTGAATTGAGCGTTGTGTGCATAGAATATTGAATGAAGTGGGAGTGCATGTGAGCAAAAAAGTGTCCCTAATTAGTGTGAATGACTAGACACTTAAATAAAGAAAGTTTTTTTCTAAGAATTCACTTTACATATTGTTTATTTAGGTGCTGATAGAAATTTCCAGGAAAAAAACAAGGTTGCTTACCTCTCCTTCTGAAGTTAGAGCTAAAGAATGGTGACTTCCACAGGCAATTTGGGTTATTACTTTGCCTTGTAAAACTGGAAGGATTGTGGGAATAAAAACTGGATTCTGGCTTGTGTTGCCATTTCCAATTTGACAATAGCCATTATGGCCCCATGCATACACTTCTCCTGTTTCTTCAACAATTCAAAGAAGTTGATAATTATTTCTCTGCATTCATTTTCTACATGGGTTGGGAATTAGGCAAATTGTTTAATGTTTATTATATATCTCACTTAGATGCAAAACCACAGCAACCATTGATTTTTTTTAGACTCCATTGACCTCTTAGATGGTTATCAATAAACTGGCACATTTTTGTAAAGATAAAAATGGATTGCAATTTGTCCTTAAAGAAAATATTTACCAATCCTTCAAAACAGATGAAAGTATTTTCCCAATTTACCTCTTTTGCATTAGCCATCAGGTGGTATATATTGCATTGGATTGTGTTACGGCGCCAAAAAGTCTTGACATTGTTATCTAACTCCCCAAATACAAGCAACATATCATTTTTTTCTAACTGGATTGAAGCTTTTCTTATACTGCTATTTAGAGAAACAGATAAACAAACCAAGTAAATAATTTGTAGTACATTTGTAATTTGCAGTACATTTGTATGGGAAACTGAGAACGCCAAAATTTTTTGGTGACACAATCCATTACAATTTATACCATGTGATACCAGTGCAAAAAAGGTGAATTATCCCCTTATAATACTCCAGATTTGAATTTGTTTACATCATCAGTGGTTCTTTTATGTCCCTCCAATATTGGTTAGTAATGATGCAGGGACGGCGGAGCAGTTTTTTGATTGGGGGGGCTCAATAGTGACATTGTATGGCAAGGTGGGGGGTTGAGTTTAGTGAAAATGTATTAAAATTTTACAAAAAGTGGGGGGGCTAAAGCCCCCTAGCCCCCCCGGTTCCGGCATCCCTGTAATGAAGTGTGGAGAGATGGGACTGTCATTTAAAGTGGTCATCCGAGCCACTTGAAAGTCTAACCATTTGTAGATGTAATTACAAAGGCAGCACTTTAAAAGTAAATTCTCCTCAGTTATTTTAAGACCCTGAATGTTGGTCTGGTCGGAACTTAACCACAACCTCCCGCACAAAAGTCCAATGCTCAACCAACTAAGCCATCTGGCTGGCGGTATCCCAATAATATTTTCCTCAGATCCCCAAAGCCCCTAATACGGCCTAAATAATTCCCTTCATGGTTCCTCTGCCATATTGAATAAATTTTATCATAATGAACATGATGAACAAGATGAACGATAAGTTGTCTCTTGTCCTGTTGATAATAAGGGCGCTGTCTTCTAAGGGGCCATTGACATGGAGAAAAATTGTCCCTGGTAGTAGGGACACCTTTCTACTCGAGCCAACTATATCTAGCGTTTATATGGAAAGAAGTTGTCCTACAAATGCGGGACAACTATAGGTTTCAATGGATGCTCCAATAAAAAGTTGTCTCGGTTAGGCGAGTTAAAGTGTTTACATGTTGTCCAGGCACCAGGGTCACTCTCTTTCACAAAGGCTTTCAATATGTGACTTACCATTCATCTTGTTTTGATGTTGACTATTATGATTTATTCAAATGGTAGAGGAACCATGAAAGAGACCATTGTCTCCCTATCATAATGTCCATCCCGGATCTATCACTGATACATGTACTGTACCAGAGTATTATCATCCTTTTTAATGAATAAATCCCTTTTATACTGGAAAAAGCAAGACAAACATCTAGACTAGACAAACATCCTGTATATGTCTCCCTCTAATTAGTCCTCTGTATAGTCACCCCTCCACTTACCTGTCAAAGCTAGCACATGAGGACCAGATCCAAAAGATAAATCACAAAGTTTTTTATGACAAAGTGTTTCTACTTTTCTTGGTAGTAGACAGTTTTGTTGATCTCCCACGCCAAGACAGCTACTAAGATTTGATCCTATACCAAACACTTCATCATCATGAGTAACCAAGATAGCTTCATTGCCAGAGTTACCAAATACTAATGCAGTCTTGATAGAACAAAGAAACTCTTCTGGTAAGAGACTGAATATTGGCCATCTTATGAAATCTGACATGCTTGGATATTCTGCTCATATACTGTTAGTAAAGTTATCTGTAATCAAAAACCAATTTAGAAAATGTGTATTATTCTGTTGGAGAGAACTAAGCAATTATAATAAGCAGCTGCTATAAGTGATGGAATTACTCAAGCTATGAAAACTGAAATTCATTGTTTAGTCCTCCAACTTGAGCTGCACTGGAAACTGATGAACGAGGTCTGAAAAACAATATAGACTATAGTTAGAGCTATAGGAGATTGTTTGGAAATCAAGATCACACCGGAAGCTGTCTTCATAATATCTACATTGTGCATGGTCTTCTTTTGAAAATTTGGGGGCATCAAGACGAGGAAAATGGGGAATGCAGTGGCTATTCTTATGGCAACCGGATTTTTCTCCTCTGACACTTAGAGGGAAAAAAATCAATGGCAGTCAAGATTCGAACACGGCACTTTTGGCACCAAATGTTATTTATTACAATGCCTATCCTAACCCTAACCCTAAACATATTAACTAGCTGAATTCGCTAGCATGGTATGCTTTCCGATTTTTGTCATATATTTAAAGTAATATCAAAATATTTCAATATTTGTACGAATAGAAATTGCAAGTCGGCGTGGTTACCGTACGAGCAGCCACTGCGAAAGGTAAAACGAGGAAAAAGATTTTGGTAGAGCGTAATTTTTTTTGAAGCTCACCTTAATTAGCTATCTAACCTTAGGTATTCTCGATGTCTAGAAGGCAGGCTGTTTATAAACATTATAGGGAATTCATGTAATGGTATATACTTCATATAAATATGCCATATAATCACCTCCTTCTTTAGATCATCATGTATATCAGTATCCATTGTTGTCAACTGTATTAGTATCCATGCCTATCCCTGGCTATCCAACATTATCCATGGCTATCCGTATGTATCCATGGCTATCTATAGGTATCCATAGGTATACATAGGTATCCATCAGTATCCATAGGTATACATAGGTATACCCATAAGTATCCATCAGTATCCATAGCTATCCATCAGTATCCTTAGGTATCCATGGTTATCCATAAGTGTCCATCAGTATCCAGGGCTATCCATAGGTACCATCAGTATCCATCAGATTCCATAGGTTAACATAGGTATATCCATAGGTATCCATGGCTATCCATGGCTATCCATAATGAAATGTAAGTGTGCGAAATAAAGAACAATTGTAATAAAAATATCGCTGTAATAGTTGTAAAAGAGTAAATCAAATTGGGTTGAATTCTTATCGTTATTTTGCAATTTTGAATTCTTTTCGTATTCAAGCGGTGAGCGCCAAAAACTATTTTCTCAAAAAAGCCAGGTTGTTGCACAAGGCTAAAATCTTGTTATTCAGAAAGTTTAACTTGTTTGGAAGTGGAGATGACCGATGAAAGTGGAATCAAAGTGTTAACCCAAAGCAAAAATTTGATTCGAAAATGAGGTTTAGGTCTTCATTTGCTTATTTCTCATATATTTTCTACTAAAAAGCCTGACAAAGCTACATTCTAACACAAATGCAACAAAACATCTATGTACAATTGAAAATACCGCTTTAAACAAGCATTTTATCATAGTACATCAGTTTCTAACTGTTCAAAAAAGGTTTTGAGTTCTAACCCAAAACGAAAATTGGGATCAAAACTCATTCGAAGGTCTAGTTTTTGGCGCTTTTTGCCATTATTGCTTGTTACTGAAAAAAATTCCCTTAAGTATTAGGCCTGGGTCTTTCTCTATATCACACCCTGAATAAACTCAAAAAAGAAAAGAAAGAAACACATATATCACAGCATTTATTAATGAAAAACCATCTCAACTAACAATGTCCAATGTATATATCTCTAACGAGGTTGATTATTAACTTTTGCAACAAAAAAGTGACTCCTATTTATAATCACACTTATAGTACACTCAACAAAATTACT